TTACATAAAAAACACCCTAAAAATATTAATTATATATTATGTACTATTTTAATAATATTTATAAAATTAGCACTCAGTTTTTACACGTGGCACCACATCAGCGTAAGGCGTGGTACATGGGCTGCGCCTTACCCACGTGATGCCATATCAGCATAAGGTGCGGTGCATGGACTGCGCCTTTCTATAAAAGATGTTAGATCGAAAAATAAAAATGAAATAATATATGATAGGGAAATAAAGAGGGAAAGGGAACAACCAGGGAAATAGGGGTGTAAACGAGCCGAGTCAAACTCGAGTATTGCTGAGTTCGAGTTGACTCGAAAACTCTGAAATGGAGCTCGACTATACTCGAAAACTCGCGAGCTTAACATTTTTAAGCTCGACTCGAACTTGAAATCTTGAACTGGAGCTCGTGAGCAGCTCGAAAATGATCGAAATGAGTCCATTCGACACATAAATGTTAATATTATTAATAATTTATTTTTTAAAAAATAAAATCTTACTATATTATATTTTCGAACTGCTCATGAGCTTTTCGAGTCGTGTATCAAGTGGCTCGTTTTGGCTCGTTAAGAATTCGAGTCGAGCTCGAGTTCGAGTCTAGTCCATTCGATCCGAGTATTTATCGAACCTTGACCGAATCAATCTCGAGTAACTTACAATTTGTCTCGTCTCATTTACAGTCATACCAAAAACACAACAAATTCGAAATAGCAGGGAGCCAACTACACTCCCCTAACGCAATGCCCGAATATAATTTACTGATGAACTAAAGAAAATGAAATATAATAGCAAAACATCAGACCCAAACTCGAGTAGAGCAGCAAAGACAGAACACGGTAAACTAGAATCCCGGAAAATAAAACGCAGACAACCGGCCACAGATCAATTTAGCACACGAATGAACTCCACCGTTCGATAAATGCCACCTTTAGCCAAAGAATCAGCTAACACATTTTGAGCCCGAGGAATGTGGCGAATCAATCAACGATCAAAAGGTATAGAATCATGAATTCTTTTTACCAGAGACACAAACTGAAAGCTGGCTTTTGACGGATCCGCCACCCAATCCACAGCAACCAATCACATTCAATACATAACCGAAACTTAGATGCCCAAGAGGCAAAATGAAAAAGTTAATCGCATATTGAATGGCCAAAAATTCGGCAAGTAAAGCAGATCCGACACCAACAGAAACCGAAAATTCCACAAGAATATCTCAACTATGATTTCTAAGGAGGCCCCCTATACCACACTTACCTTCTGTATGATTACAAGCACCATCAACATTGAATGACTATAAATCACAAGGTGGAGGCTTCCAGCCGCCGACCATGAAATGAACCCCGCTGGAGCCAAATTGTTAAAGGATAGAGAAGGTTCAGATACCAGATTACTCAAAGGAACATAACGCAAAGGGAATTTGGCTTTGAACCACCAGACAAGACGCATTTTCACTATAAACAACAGCTGTAATTTGTCAATCGTACTTCCTTTGAATATGACATTATTCCACATAAGCCAAAAGAACCACCAAACAAGACGCATTTTCACTATAAACGACAGCTGTAATTTGTCAACCGTACTTCCTTTGAATATGACATTATTCCACATAAGCCAAATGGAACATAGTATCGTAACCACAGGCAAAACAATAAAGACACCCCAAAAGGCAGCCATCCTTGACCACACAAACCATGCAGCTTTGCAAGAGAAGAAAAGGTGCTCGATAGATTCTGCCTGCGACCAGCAGAAGGGACACAGAATATCTGAGAGCAGAATACCCCTTTTAGCTAACTCAACTTTGACTAGGGCACAACCATTTAAAGTCAACCACATGAATGCCTTAGCTTTCGGAGGAGCTATCCCCAACCATACCAGCTTTTTCCAATCAAAATCCGAGACTGAGGAAACCTCAATGAGATTTTTAAAAGATTTTACAGAAAAACACCCATAAGACGAACCCTCTACAGAACCCAGTCCTCTTCTAAGTTGGAGCCTTCAAAACCCGATAGCAAGGTCTAAAAGTTAGACCATTGAACTTTCTCCCAATCAAGCAATCTTCGGCGCAATGGAATATTCCAAGACCAGCCATTAGATCCTTTAAACCCGAAATCAGAGAAATTTGATAGTGCATATATCCTGAGGGGTGTTTGGTTCAAGGATTGTGGGATTTTCATGGGATGGGAATACCACATTCTCATGTTTGGTTGGCCGGGAATCTCATTCCCGGTAATGTTTTATTACCAATAGTAAATTTTTTGGAGTATATTACCGGGAATGTCATTACCTTCATTCCCTTAGGTATTGTAACATTACCGGCGTTTTGGACTAAAATGTCCTTAAATTTTTATTTTTTTTCAAAAATATTATTCTTTTTTCATTGAATAATAAAAATTCTACGAATGTTAAATTACAAATTTATCCTTAAATTATTTTAGATTTACAAAAAAAATCTATAATTAAAATTTTATATGAAGTTCAGGGGTTAAATTGTTTTTTACCATTTCATTAAACCTTTTTTTATATTTTTAATTTTGTAAAAAATATTATATAAATATTATGAATTTAATTTTTTAAAGAAAATATATAAGAGAAAATAACCTCATTAACCAAAAATGCATTATAATATACGATTTTAACCAACTTTTTTTGGATTTGCCAAAATGACCAACTAAATCGCAATGCGATCGATAATTCGCAACGCGATCTCCGGTATCGCAAATCAATTTTCAGATTCGCAACGCGAACTTCGACTATCGCAATGCGAACTTGGACTATCGCAATGCGAACTTGGACTATCGCAATGCGAACTTGGACTATCGCAATGCGAATATGTAAATCGCAATGTGAATATGTAAATCGCAATGCGATAGTCGCCTATCGTAATGCGATAGTCGCCTATCGCAATGCGAACTTGGACTATCGCAATACGAATATGTAAATCGCAATGCGATAGTCGAAGTTCGCATTGCGATAGTCCAGCAATGCGAATATGTAAATCGTGCGAACTTGGACTATCGCAATGCAAATATGTAAATCGCAATGCGATAGTCGAAGTTCGCATTGCGATAGTCCAAGTTCGCATTGCGATAGTCGACTATCGCATTGCGATTTACATATTCGCATTGCGATAGTCGAAGTTCATGTTGCGATTTATTCCAAATTCGTTGCGATAGTCCAAAATCGCAACGACTGGTGGTATTGCATTTGTTTCTTAAGAATTTTCTCTAAAAAGATAGTATTCGCGCGGATGTGTCGAAGACACGTATTACCACGACCACGACCACGACCCGACCCGACCCGACCCGACCCAAGACGAGACGGACGGCGACGGCGCGCGAGAGTCCCCCTTGTTCTCTATCACTCAACAAGGAAGTGGGAAAGCCAAGCCTTAAATATCATTCCCAATAGTGTTTCCAATACTATGTGAGACTTGTTTCCAATATAATGTGATTATTCAGGAAACAATTAACAATCATGCACCTTAAAACAACTGAATCATCAACCAATTGCATTAGTATTATACGATTAAATATGTCATAATTAAAAGTCAATCCACAATCAATCGCGGTTATTGCAATTTTAAGCAAAACATTCAAAAATAATATCACTATTTAAGGCTCAATCCCACATAGTATTGGGAACAAGTGTTGGTAATGCTCAATCCCACATAGTATTGGAAACACTATTGGGAATGGTATTTAAGGCTTGGCTTTCCCACTTCCTTGTTGAGTGATAGAGAACAAGGGAGACTCTCGCGCGCCGCCGCCACCGCCGTCCATCTCGTCTCGGGTCGGGTCGTGGTCGTGGTCGGGTCGTGGTCGTGGTAATACATGTCTTCGACACGTCCGCGCGAATACTATCTTTTTAGAGAAAATTCTTAAGAAACAAATGCAATACCGTCGTTGCGATTTTGGACTATCGCAACGAATTTGGAATAAATCGCAACGCGCACTTCGACTAAATAAATCGCAACGCGAACTTCGACTATCGCAACGAACTTGGAATAAATCGCAACGCGAACTTGGACTATCGCAATGCGAATATGTAAATCGCAATACGATAGTCGAAGTTCGCGTTGCGAATCTGAAAACTGATTTTGCGAATCTAGAAACTGATTTGCGATACCGGAGATCGCGTTGCGAATTATCGATCGCATTGCGATTTAGTTGATCATTTTGGCAAATCCAAAAAAAGTTGGTTAAAATCGTATATTATAAGGCATTTTTTGTTACTGAGGTTATTTTCTCAATATATAAATATTTTACAATTTGTAATATTATACAAATATATAATAAGGACAATTTGGTCAAATATACATTCTAATAATCTTTTATTCCTTTAACCAAACAAGGTAATCTTACATTCCTGCTAAACCAACCAAACACAAAATACAACATTCTCAATAATCCTATTCCTGGTAATCTTTTATTCCCACTGGTAATCTTACATTCCGTGAACCAAACCCATTACTAAAAAAGAGATAATAATATAAATAAATTATTCGTTCACTTTCATTCAATTATCAAGTTAAAATTACATTGATATTCAATTCAGATTTGGATAAATTAAATTGAGTTCAATTTGGATTATTTTCAATTCAAGTTGCTTTCGATTCGAATTGTTTTTTATTCGTATTATTTTTTGTTCAGATCCATATCAATCCAACTAATATTCAGATTAATTTTGGTTAAGTCAATTTGTTTTGGGTTTCATATTAAGTTTAAGCCATCATATTCAGGTCTATATTGAATCTTGAATCGAATAAATCGATTCAGATAATCAAGATCGAATCAAGTTTACCCTGTCTAATATCAAACCCCATTCCATCCCTACCTATAACATAATGTTATAAATGCTAACTTTTCTTTTTTTTTAAAACTGTGAATACTGCAAGTGGTTTATTTTAAACAATTTGAGTTAAACCAAACCAAATCTGAACCATATGTAATCTGTCCAAGTATGGAGAGGCTTCAGATATCACAACTGTCTGTCTTCAACTGTGGTACATGTGAAAATTGTAATCAGGACACAAAGGCTATCCAAATAATTTGCCAGTTAGTTTTAGGCTAAAGCTACATTTTCAACTAAACCAGCTGTTGTTCAGCCCACTCGCTTTCTTCTGCAACCATCTTCCAAATACTTTTAAATGTAACTTGAGCTCTATCTACCAAGTATACTAGCAAGAAAAACAAAAACGGATAAGAAAAAACCTAACCGTACTCGTTAATTCCTCTTAGTTTTGTGGATGACAGAAGCCAACAATAGTGGAATTGCAAGAGTATACACTGGAAAATGAAGAAGCGGATTCATCTCATAAGCTTTCATGAGGGATCTGCAACTCTGTAAGGAAAAAATGTGTTAGAAGACAGGCGTAACTGAGAATGAACATGTTTTACAACACCGATAGAGCGGATGGAAAACGGAAAACAGAAAAAGATTCACTTATGACCTTCTAAACTGATTTCATAGTATTTTCCCAGATGAGTTCAAATACGGTGTGCTCCATCAACTTATATTAACATACAGGAAGACATAAATGGTTAACCAACTAAATCATTTACTGCAACCTTTTCAAATTATATAATGAAGCATATGCATTTGTGGAAAAGGAAATCACGTCTATGTGATTCATTGCCAACAGGCCAAATCCATGTATCTTAAAATCCAACTATTTCGATTTTAGACTGATAGGGGTTAGGTCATTTACCTTGAAATGCTTCCAACAGATAACCAAGCAAAGAACCAAAAGAATTAACCGTATCCAATTTGATCTCCTATTGCCTCGGGAATCATATCTAACAGACTTATCCAGTCCTCTGTCGTCATCTTTTTTCTTTCCCAAAATTGATAGAAATTTGTCTCTATGCACAGCTCTCTCAGCTGCCAGAGCTCCGGTGCAGAAAATAGCTGGTAAGACCACAAATACGAGGTGAGGAAGAACAACAACCATGACATCAGGAGATCCAATATAATCGTGACTGCTCTTATCATTCGACAATTTCACTACCCAACCCATGTATGTCATGTATCCCCTATCTTCACCATCTGTAAAAACTTGTCCGGCGAACCAGGGAAACAAAATCAGGTAGAATATGTATCCCAGAAAACCAAACCATGCAATAGGAAATCTGCAGAGCTCTTGCAAAACCAATCCTATGCCACTTATGAATCCTTTTGCAGCAAGAACATTCTTGTAAGTTATTTGTTTCCTTGAGAAAAAGAGAAAAACTCTAGGGATTAGAAGGATTAAGAGTAGAAATGACAGAGCCAACCAAAGAATTGGGTAATACAAGGCTTCCCATTGACAACCCATGACAAAAAACTCCCTCCAAGTCCATGATACTTTAGCATGAATCCCGTTTACAGAAAATGGTCTTCGTTCGGTCTTAGTTGTCCGGCCCATGATATCAGTTGCTTCTATTTGCAGCCAGAATCTATCAGCTGATGGGTCTTGGAATGCTTTATAATTCCAAGGAACCACATAAAGATCTCCCCTGGAGGATTCATCTTCAACCTTGGTCATTGATGCATCCACAACCGTCTCAAGCTTTCCGTATCTTGTATCATAGATTTTAGCCACAACTGACACAAGTGGAGAAACAGAAAACACAAGAGCTCTCACTGTCTCATAAGATGAAGAGAGCATATGTTCACATTCATACTCATGATGTGATGAAGATGTTGACATGAAACGCGAGTCAAGTGGAAATGTTGGTAATATAATAGTCTTTTTGGACCCTGAATTAAAGTCAATATCAGCAAATGAAACATGACCTCTATCAATGGCTAAGATACGCATGGCTCTACTCTTCCTCCAGTCACCCATTTCCCATTCCCAAAATTCTTCAACCGGTGGAGCGCCAAATGAACAATTCTTACAGCCTTCTGATCGTGTTTGATGTAAATTAAACTGGAAAAACTTCTTAGAAGATAGAAAACTAGGACTTGACAAGTGGTGTCTTTTTAAGTTCTTTCCAAATCTTGTATGGAGATGCCCACATACATAAGCGGAAAGTGAATGCTTAAGGAAGATATCGTTCAGGGTCTTTCCAGATTGAGAGGAAGCTGAAAATGATAGAGGAAAATGCCCAAAAGATATCTTGCTCATTGGTTTAAGTGATTGAGAATCCCATTGTGATAGCTCCGAATCTATTCCAGTCAAAAGTTGGTCAGTTGGGTGCCCGAAAAGATTAGTTGGACCTCGTAAGCCAACAGACATTGTGCTGTCCAAACCCACAAACAGATATTTTTGTCTACCACCCTGGGGATGACATAAACAAATAAGATAAATAACCAACACATTTTCCAAGTTTAAAATAGAATGAATGGACAAACAATAACAAGCATCTGAACCTATTTCCTCAGAATTCATAATAGAAGTTTTCAATCTGGTAAGAGATTTTGAACCCATCATCATTCGTCATTTTATATAATGAGAAACGTAAACTGAAAAATTAGAGTTCCATGCACATTTCTCTTGCGGATTTTAACTAATTATCTGCAGGTGAGTGGAGCAAACTGCATCAAGGCATGGATTAAAGAAAATATTTACATATATGAAAGCCAGCCGGTAGTAGTAATATTTACATGAATTTGAAATTTAACCACCAATCTAAAATGAAGCTACCTAAAAAAAAATTAAAATTAAAAGCCAATCGGTCAGGCAGCACAAAAATCTGATAATTTTCAGATATGAAAACAAATGAGGCCTTCTACATCTCTAGTTAAAAATCTAACATTTTCTTTCCTCATAAAATTATAAATCATTTATAAAATGAAAGAGAGAGAGAGGGACCTGAAGAGTGAGTGTGACACTATTTACACGTCCACTCCTTCCCAATTGCCCGTTGATGCTATACTTTGAGTAGAAATCTAATGAGCCACCAATCACTGGTACACCAAAATTATCATGATTCCCTCTAAGATCATAGAAGATGTTCTCATCAAGCCCACTTCTTTTCACAACATCTTCCATTACATTCTTATATTCCACCCATTCATCTTCATTTTGCTTCATTACTAACAAATCCATGCTTTTCCCATCTGTTAGTGGAAAATATATTATTTAAGATGAACCAACCAATGTGATCATAAAGTTGGTCAGTCTTGTGAAGGCGTGCGTTTAGGAACGCCTAGACATCGCAGCTTAGAGCCAAACAAAAAAGTGCTTCAGAACCTTTTGAGTGAAGCATATTTAATTAACCTCACACCTAGAGCACCTAGGCATGCTTCTTTTGTAAGGTAATAGGCACAATATGGTTGAAGTTTTACTTTAATTTATATATGTTATCATTAGCTGTACCATTATTAGCAAGTAGAGTATAATGTCAAACATTTTAACTCCCAATATTTTTACTATTCAACAACAGGCAAGGACCACAAGGAAACCATAATTGGCATGTTTTGCATTATGAATTAGACCATAATTTAGAGTGTATTCTCATAATTATAGATATTAATCTCATTTATATAAACAACGACACACATACAATAACACATGCATAAAAGCATTGTACCTTATTTCACACATGAAGTGCTTTTTTAAAGCCATGTGCCTTATCAATGCAAGTGTTCTAGCACCGACAGCAGGCTTTGCGCCTTTAACAAAAATAAAGTTGGCGAGAACACCATAAACATACATACAAACATATGCAGCGCACTCAAGTCATATTGTAACAAGTTAATGGTGCCAAAGTCCTTGCATCAGCAAGATATTATTATAATAGACAAAAGGGACTCAAAAAAGTTTGAATAGGTATGAGCTATCAAGATCAAGAAAAGCCTATACTATCCAGATTCTGAGCTCTGTGCCCATTTGTTACTTAATTCCAGTGGGGGAAAACAACAGAAACCAAACTACCACTTTCAAAATGTACGTGTAGACGCTTTGTTTTCCCCTTTTTTTGAAGAATGTTATTTTCTGAAAATGGGTACAAATAGAATTATTTAGCACTGATAGCCTGTGGAGTTTCTTCTGATCTCATTTTTTCACTCATGGTGAGGAGGAAACAGTGAGATGCAAGTAGATAGACAAGATAGACAACATTGTGGCATATTGCTATGTCTTTTCCAAGATTCTGCCTAAGCTATTTGCCTTAATAGCAGCAGCATCTACAAGGTAAAGCATTATAAACAGAGTTGGGAAGCTCATAGGCGCACGTAAAATTTCTTAACTGAACATTTCAATTACTCAAAAAATTAAAACAGTTACCAGTTCAATAAAAGCTAACACCTAAATTTCCAGGACACAATATACATTAACAGCTCTTTATCAAATGCTACCTCATTTCGACCAAATTTAATAAACAACCTATTGAAACAATGAACAATGTATTTTTAGATTATTATTTAAAGAATAAAATCCATAGAAATTATAACCAAGTTTCTTAAGAGAGATGTGCATATTACTTCCTTCCATTTCACACCCAAAGTCAACTAGAAGAAAAAGAAACACAAACCCAAAATTCAGGATCATTATTTCTCATAAAAAAATGTTCAAACATGAAAACCAAATCAAGCTAAAAAAGAAAACCCATAAATTTAAACCTGTAAGATCACCAGTAATGAGGACGAGAGAAGGGTTAATCATGGCAAGGGCAGCCGGCACAAGGTTTTTAAAATCGATGGCTCTATCAGGATGGTGAACACTGAAATGGAGATCAGAGAGCTGAACAACCCATACAACTGAATCCGGGCCGTCTTTTACATCTATGACTGTTCTATGCGAAGAAAACGAGGAAGATTGGTCTTCATGTTGAGCATAACAAATGGGTGAATTCAGGCATAAGAAAACCGGTAGGAGAATCAGAATCAGAACGCCCATGTCGCCAACTACTCTTAATTTTCTTCCGTTTGTCTCTGAGAAAAGAGATGGAGGTTTGATTTGGAATTTGGACCGTTCCATTTGATTCTCTCTAGAATGAGCTAGTTCAAAAATACCTGATTTAATATTTGACTCATTGATTGATGACTCAATTAAAAATTAGGGTAAACTGCAAGTTTAGTATTCTAACTATCATTTTTATTTCATTCTGGTCACCTAGCTATTTTTTATTTCAAAATCATACTTAACGTTACTTTTGGTTTTATTTTAGTTACCTATTGTTAAAAAATTAAAGGTTAGGCTAATGTGTCACCATTAGGTAATGTCTTTTCATCATTTAAAAAATAAAAAAATGTCACTTTAGTGTTCTGTTAATTTTTAACAACGTTTAACTAAAATAAACAAAAATATAATATTAGGTATGATTTTTAAAATAATAATCATTGGATGACCAAACTTTAATGAAAGTGATAATTGGAATACTATACGTGTAGCTTACCCTAAAAATTATCTAGCACATTAAAAAATTATATAAAATTTTGAATTAAGTATTCACCTCGTTATTTTTCACAAGTTTACAGATCAAGCCCTCATAAAATTTCACTTAAACAGATACTAGATTACCTTATTATTTGGTTCTTTTTTCTATTTAATTTTTATTAAAAAAATCCTAAGCACCAATTGCAATTCTCAAATTAGCTATCTCCAAAATTTTAATTTTCCTTCTCCGTTCTCTCTCTCTCAATCTCTCACTCTCCCATTTCGACCATCATCTCTCTCAATTTCATCAATCACTTCTCTCATTGTCGGTTTAATGAATTTATTTTAGTAATTAGTAAATATCTTAAGATATACATTGAATATTTGAAAAATGAAAGAAAATATGGCAAGGAAATTAAAATACATTCAAAAGGAAAATTAAATTAAAAATTACAAATATACTAAATAATTCGAGTAATTATTTAGTCTTTGTTTGACACGTTAGGATTAGTTCATGAGAGAAACATTGTCACTGGCGTCGGCGGTGCCCAGGATTAGCTTGTCGCCTGTGCTCGAACGGTCGAGGTCACCATTGATGGCGGATAGTCAAAGGTGTTAACCGAGGGTACTTGGGTGGTTTTTGGTAGTTATTTAATTATTCAGCCATGGAGCCAGAATTTTAGTACTTCTGATAATCACCATTTGCAAGTTATTGTTTGGATTTTATTACCATGTTTACCGTATCGATATTACTCCAAATCCATATTCTGATTGATTGATTATGATATTGGTAAGGTTATTAAAGTGTATTATAATACGAATGCTCTGGAGAGGGGAAAGTTCGTGACGTAGACGGTTGTCGGCGAGCTCAACAAGCCATTACATGCTATTGCTGTGTGGTTTATGGACACACGCCTAATCAAATGACATTGTGTGTCAGGTGAGGAAAATTTCGTTACAGCAATAGCATGTAATGGCTGTGTGTCGTATCTAGATTTTATTACCATGTTTACAGTATCGATATTACTCCAAAGCCATTACATGCCATTACATGCTATTGCTGTGTGGTTTATGGACACAATTTCCTAGACCACAAGCCATTACATGCTATTGCTATTGCTGTGTGTCAGGTGACGACACTCCTAATCAAATGACACCAGTGTCTAGTGGTCTAGGATCAGGTGAGGAAAATTTCAGTCCTTAGATGGTGGCAACTAACCATAAACGATGGCCTCGGGAATCGGTTGATGTGAGTAATGGTGCAGCTAAGACATCTAGTCAGGTTACTAAATCTAGATATGATTCTCTTGCATGAGCTATGAAAGATGCAGGTGTTGAAAATTTGAACATGAATGTGTCCAAATTTCATTGGAAGAGAGAGATCAACATCTAGTGGTGTTGCGACTAGTGGTCGCGATAAAGGCAAATTGATTGCCATCCTATGGATGTTGAACAAGTAGGTTTTGGGAGTGGTTCTGGGCACTCGGTAAAAGACCAGTGGTTGGAGTCGTTGAAGGAAAACATTGTATCGTGGAAGGATAGTTTTATGTGGGGAGGCATCCGTGTGGAATCGATGGTTGCATGCCAAGAAACTAATGTTACTCTACGAGAACCAAACATTCACGGTGGTAATCATGTGGCGGTAACAATCAATGAGGGTAAGCACAGTAAGCGATCGACACTGCAGGGCAGATGTGATTCTACTAAAGCAGGTTTGCTCAAGGGAGCCAGTGAACCGAATTTCAAGGGGTTGAGGCTTAAAAAGCGAGTTATAAACCTATTGGCCGACCCTTAAACTTATTTAAATTAATAATTATCTAGACGTTTCAATAATAATTATACAAATCAAACTAATACTAATTTTATCATTTTAACTTCGATTAATTTTTTTACATTTTATGAATTTGATTAAATTTTTACATTGATAAATTTTTATTATATTTAAACATTTTTTACGTTAAAAGATAAAATAAATAATGTTAACGTTGTTAAAAAGATAATAATGATGGGACAGCATCATGTGGAGGTGTACAAGGAGATTCACGCGGCAACTGGAGATCCGGCTTCACAAAATTTATAGGAATATGCTCATCAGGAAGCCGAACTATAGGGAATCTTGATTGGCCTGGAGCACGCATTGAATGCCGGAGCACGTAAGGTCGTATTAGAAACAGATTGCATAGAGGCTGTTCGCCTGTTACAAGGAAGAGAGATACGTCAAGGACACTCATCCCTTATGCAACATATAGGTATACTGATTAAAAGAGAATGGTTCATCAGAATCCAGCATGAGACGCGAGATGGCAATAAGCTTGCGGACTTCATGGCAAATCTGGCAACCCAGGAGACTGATTCGGTTAAATATTTCCAGACACCACCATTGGAGGCCACACTGATTCTCCAGAAGGACACTGGAGGGAGTTATTTCCTAGCCTAGTTGAGCACACTGCTCGTTCATTCTTCAACAAAAAAAAAAGATAATAATTGATGTAAGTTTAACATGTGTTTTTATAGTTAATTTAATTTGAAAAAAAAACGAGGAAAGAAAATTCAAAAAATAAATTGATTTTTTCTTTTAAAAAAGTTTAAGAATAAAAAATTATAATTAGACTTAAAATATCTATTATCTGTCTATCTCAATTGGATCTTAGATGGACTAATTTTATTATTGCAAATCTAATAGGCTATGAATTCAAACTTGTGTAACCATATCATGACCCTTGAGGTATAGGCAATACATCAACTATATATCATAATTTTTTGTATTATTTGAATCATAATTAAAATTTTAAATTGGCACGAACCAAGCTATTTCAATGGTTAAGCTGATGATTGTTTTCCTTAGAGGTCTTAGGTTCTCAGAGACTAAATATGGGTGTTTATGCTTTCATTGTCAAATGCTTGTGAATCTTTAGTACATATAATACCTTATAACCATACTAAAAAATTAAATTGGACATTTCATAGTCACAAGAAGCAAATACATCTAATTTTCAATCGTGGATTGAATGATTATTCCTGAACTACAACAAAGGTACTTATAACACTTTCGTTATCAATATATGGACTTTGTTAGGGGTGAGTGTTTGATCGAGGTGAGTTAAAAAAATCGAGTTATTCGAGTGAACTAATCCTAATGTTATATATAATTCAAATTTTATTTGAAATTTTTTCGAGTCGAGTTGTTCAAGTTTCTGTTTAAATTTAATTATAAATATTTACAATATTATGGTATAATTTTATTCCAATTTAAACGATTTTCTATAATCATATACATACATATTTCTTCACATTTTTCATATGTGATATACACATGTCATATAGAATTGAGGCATTTGACTCAAACTTGAAAATCAATATTCTAACTATTAAAAGTTTTAAGTTATTCAAGTCACTATTCGAGTTATATTTTATAACTCGATTTGAATTTGAAAAATTTTCAAGTGGAGTTTATATTATTACGAGTCGGAAACAAATTTGTGGTTTAGCAACAAAGGTATAATGTTGATAAGATAATTCTTTATCTGCAACCATCATCCTCGTATATAATATGAAACCAATTTAAAAGTATGAAACTAAAATAAAAAATTAGTATACATAGTCTAAATTTATAACTTATAATATAATACATAATGATAAGCTACAAGATTGATCATTTACGTTTAAGTTTTGTATATTTTTTCTCATTGAATTTAAAAATTTTAATATTTGATCACTTTCGCTTTTATTTAATTAAGATGTGGTCACTGAAGGTTAAATGTCATTAGACTTTTAACAAATTGTTGACATGACACAATGAATATATAAAATTAAAAAGGATAAACTACATAAATAATTACTAATATTTGAGTAAATTTTAATTTCTCTATTGAATTGCATCAAACCCCAGGTGTCACTCTTTGATATCAGCGACTGTGACTCTCCATTGTTACTAAGTGCTTTGTCTGATTCTCTTCTAAGTATTCATCTATTTATTATTTTTTATTTTATATATTCACCGTGCCACGTCAAAATTCTGTTAAAACTTAAGGTGTTGACAGGTTTAAATTTGGTTTGATATAATTCATTAATTTGATTAACAATCACAATATTGTTTTGCGATTAAAGTGTTTAGTTGCATGATTACATCATGACAGTATAGATTTATTAATCATGATTTATGTGTATAATCCTGTGTAATTAGATTACATTGTTCAATGCGATTAAACTAGGTTTTGGCTTGTTCAAAGATTTACTGATGAGATTAGTAAAATTGAAAATTTTGGGGCTCAAATTTCATTGATTACAACTAGTAATGGGAGAATCCCTGAGGCATAATTTACAAAATTCAAATTCACAAATCAGAATTTTTCAAAAAATTAAGCTAACACAATCTCGAACTAGCGAATCTCATATGAACAAACATATGGATCATCTCAATAATGACTCTTATTAAAGCTTGATATGATTGTTTAGAATTAATATGACACTTATCTTCATAGGACATTCAACTGAGGAATATTATTAGGAGCATCAAAGTACTAATTTAGAAAAGCCGGAATGATATTCTCTTATCAAGGTAAGGAAAAGATCTATTGGATTGCATACGAACATCGTCTAAAGA